AATATTGCAAATTTTCATTAAATTGTTAATGTTTCGTTCAGTTTTCATCGTTTCTTTGGTCTACAAATGTCTACAATATCGTGTATTAAACGCCTGTACGAAGGCAACCGCTCTCTTACATACATGGCGGCGCACCCTTCTGAACGCTCAATCGCTATTTGTTTATAGCTTCAAATAACAGTGGAAAAAACAAATTTTCACACTGCAATTACTCATAATTTGTAGTATTTAACGTGAACTTTCAAACTCCGTCAGCAGAATTACAAAATACCTATTCAATCAAAAGTTATTAACAATTGAAAATCGCAAAAATTGAATTTTTCGAGTTTTTAACGGCGTTTATCTTGAAAACAATGCGTTTAACAAAAAAATTGCGAGAGACGTTTTCTTCTTAAAATGAGTCAAAGAACAAGAAAATACGTTTTATTTTGCCAAAAACTAAGTTCTCAGTATTTTGCAAGTTTTTTGTTAATAAAAAACTTATCGACATCCGGGCAAACTTCTACCCAAAAAATTCGTGTTCAGCAGCTCAAAATATACAAAAAATACTTGGGTAACTCCATCTAAATGAAGGAGGCAATTGGAACCCCCCTGGCTACAGGACTAATAGTATTGCACTCTATAAACTCAGCTTTCGGTCAAGTTTGTCAATTTTTACATCTTTTGCAATAAACAGTTACTTTTTGCACTTCATGCTTCGTATAACATTAAAAATTATTTTGCATCATCAATAAAGAGTGGTTCATGTGTTTACAGTTTTTATAGGGGACACGATTTCCGTAAAATAATTTAATTTTTTTATGAATTCATTGATTTGTGACAGAACTCAGACATATTAGTGGAGTTATGTTATATTATTTTGTGAACATGAAAATTAAGAATTATTCAAATATTTAAAGTACCTACCATTGTTTTTCGGTTTGTTATGTCGTGGCCTATATCGTGGTCATTGCCAGTCACAAGCTTATAGTGCACTTCCTTAGCCTTAGCTAAGTATCTTTGATCTGTCTCTGTTGTTCTTGGGCTAGGCTTTGTAGGGTCGGACCCACTAATAGACTCTCAGGCCTGCCCTGATACTGATTTCGATTGTAGTTGTTAGAAATAATTGTCAAGCTCGAAGAGAAATTACCGTTGCTGAAGTGAAGAAAGTTTATAAAAATGTGAGAAAACGTTTAGAGAAATGCTTAGAAGGTGGTTTGGTAGTGGTACGCATAAATGTAATTGCTTGTTGTAACTGCCAACCAAATTGTTGTAATGTTAATAAAACAGTTTCTAATAACATTAGTCACACACTTGAGTCAGCACCTGTAATTTGGTAATTTCTACTATTGAAATATTAAATCTTTATTAAAATCCACTGAATTAATTTTCGTCAAATGGTAAACATAAGTTTTGGGTGCTGCTGATTCACGCTGTAGAAATTTTTATATTTTTATGGAACTAGCAAGAAAGTAGACGAAAATTTATCTAATTCATATTTATCTAATTTTTTTTTTCACTTAATAATTCCATATGTACGTAAAAGATAATATGTCAAAGTTAAGACATCTTTTGAGTGGATCCACCTGCGGATAAGGAATTACAAGTCATTCTAGGAATTAAAAAATCTGATATAAAATACATTATAATAACATATTTCAGCAAATTACTATAAATGTCACAGCAGCATGGATATATGAATAACATAAGACTAATCAGTGTATTAAGAACAAATATTCTGCTGTGTTATTTGTTACACAATAATTAAACTATAGTTAATTCTTCTATAATAATAATAATAATAATTATTATTATTATTATTAGAGTGCGTTCATGTAGTACTTGAGATACGTTATTTATTAATCAATTTAGTTTAGTTTAATTCAATTAATATTTTTCTTTATCTGAAAAGTTTGCAAAAACTGAATTTATTGAATAAAACCATACCTCAAATTCAGAAAAAATATCTTAAAAGGAGTAGGTTGCCTAAAAATTGCTGATCCCCTTCGCACCACTTCTTCCCAATATACTGATGAGTGACGTCATTGGTATTATAAATATCGAATAACGTCAACGTTAATCATTGTTATGTGAGTTTCCCTGCCCCGTGATCACAGGAATTGTTATTGTTTTTTTTCTGTTAGATTTCTGTTTTAAGTGCTATTGAGCTCACAAACTTTTATCAATAACTACGTCATTATAATTCTGGAGGCCCAATTTGTAGTATGGATACTTGTAAAAGTAACGTAAATTGGGAAAAGGATTCTGACAAATCTATTAGTTTACATAAATTTTCAAAATTTCCTCAGTGGATAAGGGGGGGGGGAGGCAGGGGTATGCACGCCCCACCCGAGAAAGCCCGTTGCCCAGCCCAGCAAAACGTGTTTATATTTTTGAAATTTTATATCAGTACGTCGCTGATTGCGTGCCCTTTTTTTTGAGTCCTCCATACAGCTTGCAGTCATAGGCCCACCCCAAGCAACTATCCTAGCTACGCCCATGCGATTGGATGCCGCTATCGAAATTATATTGTTAACCTTACTAACAAAAAAAATTGCAGTAAATATTTTTATAAAAAGATTATGTAGATATATGCTATAACTGTAAAGGAATTAAAATCAACAGGTATAAATTTTTATCACGTTCGTCTCAGTTTGAAATTCAAGAACGAGCTACACGAAAATCGAAAGCTTCAATGAGACAGCTCCATATACAGAGTGTTTCAATTAAAACTTTTGGAAAATATCGGAATTAAAAAAAAACAAAAAAACTTGAGACACTTCGATTTTCTTTTCAAGGGGGACACGTGGTGGCGTAAGTTTTCGTGTCTTGGAAGCTACTCCCTACCACTTATGTAGGAGGGTAAAATACCCTTAAACTTTAAATGGCATCCTAGGTTGAGTAAGACCTCATTTTAAAGATTTTTTCTAGTAGATTCAGATACATGTTCCCATCCAGATTTCTCGGTAGGAGGAAAGACCCTATCAGGTGGTCTCCCAGTATGCCCGCCCAAACATTCAATTTCCTCGGATGTTGCTTATGAGTTTCATGAAAAATGCGTTGGAATAACGGAAATTATAGCGGTTAACTCGACCATCCAGTTGGAACGTGAAAAAAAATACCTGAGCAGTTACTTTTGGTCATTTTGCATAAATTTAAAAAACCATTTTCATAAATTTCAATTTGAATGTCCTCTATCTTGGAAACTAAGCATTTTCTGCTGAGATATACGTGTTCTATCACCAGATAAGGTTTTGGCTTCTATACTCGCACATATGTGCAGATACCTATGTGTTATAGATTTCGAGTAAAATAGATAAATCTCCATTAAATATGTCGAAATACGAGGAAAGAACGGAAAATTTGCAAACAAAAGAAATTTTGGTCGGTCCTTGAGCTACAACGTTGTCAGTGACTATTTTATCCCTTTTTCAAAATTAAAATCCAATTAAAAGATTTTTATCTCGACCCTGCTGTAGAGTTCAAAGCGGAGTCGTGTTATACACAATAACGCCGGCAAACATTGAATGTACTTTCAGTTATGAGGAAGAATCGAAAGGAATAAAGCCCGGAAAATCATGTTGTTTGTTAAAACGTATAAGTACGGCTATTAGGTACCCTGAAACAAAACCAAGACCATTCCATGAAAGAGGCCATATTACTGAATAATTCAAAGTTGCATGATGGAAAAACAAAATATCCCATAAGCAATTAAATAGCATACCTACCTAAGAGGTCTATTCTGCAATTCCTTTAAAATTTTAAGGAGTTAAAATTATTTTCATATACGAAAAACTTGATAAAAGGCACTGTTAAATAGAAGGTAGAATTTAAATATTCAATAGAAGCATTACCTGCATTAAAATGGTTGACTTCATTTGTGCTAAAATATTCAGAAAATAATGAAATTCTTCACACTCCTGAAAAACGTTTCCAATCAGTCACAGTAATTTTTTATTATTATTATATTTACTGCTTGTAAAGATGGAAAAAATTATTTAATTTAATGAAACATTGTTTTTGAAATTTAAAAAACTGAAAACAATAATAAATTACATTTTAAAATTACATTTTCCTGTAATAAGGATATTAAGTCAGAACGTACATACTTTTTAATGACACACCTGTCCTCTACAGGTGTTTTCAGAGATTTACTAAGATAACATTATCAATCACTGATAGACTTTGTAAGCAAATTTTTGGATTTTACAATCAGTATCATAAGTTATGTTATCAAGCAACGAGTAAGGTTAAAATGAAAGGTAAGTACCATGATCTATAATTTATTCAATTATTAATTCTGCTTATGAAATCACAATTCATTTCAATGATGAATTGTGTTATAGGTACGAAAATATTGTTATTGAAGGATGTCATATATGTCATTAAAAAATGTCACCAGGGATTAAGTTTGAAATTATTTAGTTGCTATTTGTGACAATTATCGAATTAGCTCCATCGAAATTACTATTTTACTGCATTATTTAAAATTTATATATATTTTAACGGGCTTTTCAATATTATTTTAGCGATGAGAGCAGTTAGAGCTACTAAAAGGTATCCCAAAATTTTTAATTAAAAACTGTAAATGTATGGGGTTATGTATGGAATAGCATACCGGGTAAATGGCCTCCATTGCTGGCATATACACTTTTTTGTCGCAATTTTCCATAACCGGTTTGCATAAATGCAGCTGAATTTCGTTGATACAGTGCTCAATTTCCTCCTTCAAAGCCTGGGTGGCCGTGGGCTTGTTGGCATAAACCTTAGATTTCAAAAAACCCCAAAGAAAAATATCCAACGGCGCTACATCGCATGTTCTGGGCCACAAATCAAATTCTGATTACATGACCAGGAAATGACTAATGCAGTAATTCAGTTGTTTGTCGGAGTGTATGACATGTGACACAGTCTTGTTGAAACTACATGTGGTCTACATCCATATCTTGCAATTTAGGTCAAAAAACTGAATTATCATGTCGTGATAGCACCATTAACTCTTATCACCTGATCAGCCGCATTTTCGAAGAAGAATGGTCCAATGATACCTTCAGCCCAATATCCGCACCAAATAGTGACAAGTTGTGGATGCATTTGTTTCACAACGAATTTTCTGAGCCCCAAATGTAACAATTTTGTCGATTAAAGAAGCCAACACAATGAAAATGAGCCTCATCGACGAAGATATTTTATTCGAAAAATTAGCATCCATTTGTTCCATAATTAATTCAACGTACTCTATTCGCTCTGCGTGGTCAGTAGGCTTCAGTTCTTAAATCAACTGAACTTTGTAAATATGAAGATGCAATTCTTAAGTGAGAATATGTTGTAGAGAGCTTCTCGAATTGTCCAACGGTGCCGAATTGATATTCCTGGACTCTAAGCAACACTCTCACAAACTGCTTTGATGTTTTGTGTTGAACGACTTGTGTGAGTGTTTAATTCACTTATTAATTCAGTCTCCCCGAATTTTTCAATTAATCTCTTCACAGTTGATGAAGTTAAACTATTCCGACCATGTTTTGTACGAAAACTGTGAAATGTAGCTGCCAAACCTTCATTATTTTTAAAATATTGCTCGACAATAAAAACTCATTGTTCTTTCTTGGAGCGCTCCATTTTTAATAACCATGAACTGTCTTGTATGAATATTAGTACAGTATTAATAATAATACCATGACCTCTTATTGTAATTTTATAATATATTTGCATATTATACAAAATTAAAAAATGCTGGGTTTTAGTTGAAAATCTTATTCACATGTCGAAAACGATATTTTTTACGAGATTTCAGTATTTATAATAAATTAAATAATTAGATTTTAATTTTCACATTATGTTAAATAATTAGGAGTTATGATGTAATGTTAATTCTCAGTACCTATATATAAAATGCGCATTTAATTACTGAAAATAATTTTCTTTCTCGTAAAAAAAGAGCAATTACTTATGTCCTTTTCTTCATTCATGCAGAATTAAGTTTTAAATTCAATTTCTTTGTACAAATATACTCGTATAGCAAGAACTTTTCCGATGTAACAAGTGAGTAGACATGTTCCTATTAAAACCTGGGATTTTTTCTATAAAATTACAGTAGGAAGTCTTAGTGAAATTAATACCAAACTGGAATATGAAAATATTGGTTCTAACTGTGGTCATTGCTAAAACGATATTTAAAAGCTGTGGTGACAAATTCATGGTTTTCGCTACTGGTTGAAATACAATCAATATACTAACGAAAAAAAGAAAAAATAAACAAAGTTAAGTTTTCTGGGTAACCACGAGAAATGAGAATTTTCCCTAATCCTCTTTGCATTTTGAAATGGTTATGTACACGCATAGATAGCCTTACCTTAACAACACATTACATACAGGGTCTTTCACGTAACATGTTCCTGTCTGTCTATTTGAAAATGAAATAGTGACAACCAAAGTTTTAGGATTTTTTTTACGGTATCGAAGATAAGAAGTTTTTTGCAATGCTTTGTTACCTCATTTTTAGTACTAAATTCGCTGAATGTTTTCTTCCTTAGGTCATATAAATTATTACATCTTCTTTCTTTGCCTTATTTCAGAATCTCCCATAGAAAGAACTATAATGAGGTCAATTTAGGACTTCTGGGGGATCACAAAATTATTCGTTTATAAGAAAAATGTATTTAAAAAAGTGTCCCTTATATAGACCACAACGAGGTTACTATAAAACACTTTTTACAGTATATTAATTTTTTCTTAACGAAATAATGTGCATCGGTTCCATGGCAATATGAGTATTAACTTTATTCATTGTAAAGGAACAATAAATAATCAAAATAATGTGTAAATATATGACGTATCATATCACTATAATTTAAAAAATGAGAGAATTCCAAAAAGCGACAAACATACAGCGTTTTCCATTAAAGAAAAAACAAAAATTTACTTTGTCCTCAATTTTTTTTTAAATATTTCTTTGACTTCTCAAAAAAAGTTGTTTAAACTTTGATTGTTGCCATTTTTTTTCTGCATAGGAAATCTGTAAAAACGATAAGGAGAGTGGAATATTATGTAAACAATTCTATACAACATACCATGTAATTGATATTTTAAAATTACGTTAAGAACTTACGTTATTTCTTTATACAGGGTGTTTCAGATGCATTGGCCAACGCTCAGGGGCAGATTCCTAACCTAAAAACAAGATTTTTTTCCTATCAACATGGGTTCGATTTCCTTTCGTTCCTTAGCTACAGGGTGTCAGTTTTAAAATAAAATATGTTTTTTCCAAAAAAAAATTTCCACTGAAGGGAATTAAATGAAATTTGGACGACAACTATAACTATTTACAACCGAATACACGTTCCTAGGTATTATTTATTATATTGAACATGAATTACAGGACTGGACTTACTTGCAAGCCATTGAATTTAATCAAAGAAAAAATTGGTTCTCCGTTGAAATTTTTAATTCATAATTATATGGGTTAAATTCTCAATTTTGATAAAAAACTGACTCTTATTATTTTTTCGTTTTCCCTGGAGTTTTCGGTATTTTGAATGTAATATAAAGAATTATTTATTTATATAGAATTAATTATGAATTGTAAACGTACCTACACTAAACAACTCGATAAACATAATTAGGAATCTGCCCCCGAAGGTTTGCCCATGTTGTCTGAAACACCCTGTATAATGTATTTGGAAAATGTTTTTCAGGTGTGAATTTTTTCACGCCAATGTTTTTTTTAAACTACACATTTTCTTTGTAAGAATAGCAAACTCCATTTGGATACATGTTTGACTTCAGTCAATTTTTTTAAGAGCTATTTAATAGAAAAAATAATTTTAGGATCTCTTTACGCATCTGCTGTTACACCATTTAGTGCAAACGAGAAAATGTAAACTGACATTAAATTTTGCCAGATTGTCTATTAAATCTTTATCCGCAATACAAAATTTATAGATTTTTTGAGGCAATGATCGTGAAAGGTTATATACACTTCCTAATCCCCAAGGGCCAAACCACCAAACATTTACAAATATTGAGGGAAGACCACAGATTTGAGCAAAACACAGGCGAACGAGGAAACCATCTAAAAGTATTGTTCATTCATGATATATTGAAATAACAGCTATCGCACCTGTAACAATTTTCAATAAATTCATGAAGTACCCTTGCATTTTGTCATTTCATTCAAAACCAAAGATCTATATTTCAATTAAAAAAAAAATATATTTTCAGACGAAGCCATGTTTCACAAGGACATATATAACTAATTTACATAATAATTGGCATGTTTATTCTGACAAAAACTATTAGCCACTAAACTTAGTCTCAATATCACTTCAAAATTAATGTCTGAATGGGAGTCATTGACAACTTCATTCTCGGCCCTTTTGTTGTACCAAATCGCTTAAACAGAAATAATTATTATTAGTTTGGCATGCCATTTAGCCTTTATGCGTGATGGTGCATCCGCCCATTTCTTTTTAACTGTTAGAGAGTTCTTGAATGAACGAATATTCTGACCAAAGACCGTAGAAGATACCTTGCACCTATAAACTGGCCGGTTCGTTCACCAGATTTAACAAACTGCGATGAATTGTAAATGCAATAATTTCATAAAAATCTTAAATTTTGAATATTGTTTAACCCTGTTAACGGTTGAGAATAGGAGCTTCGTTTATAGGAACTTTTATGTTTATTTTGGGTCCTTGAATACGTACCTACCTAAAATATTGACATTTCCTCCTAAATCATCCTGTGTACAATATATTGTTTTGGTTTCTGTAACAATGATTTCAGTTGATCTAAAAATATGTTTCTTTAAAAAACAATATTGATTTAACGAAATATATTATTTACAGTAGGTATACTATTATTTCCTTTAAATTATTTTTTAGACTAAACTGCTTAATTAAAAAAAATCGCTACAGTAAAAAAGTTTCCAAATGAGGTCTGTTATTATTCAAGTAGCAGAAAAACATTAGCTGATACTTACGTACGTTCTCTAATTGTTAAGGAGAGAATAAAAAAACTTCCCAAAAATGGTTAAAATCGATGGACACACACACACACAAAAAAACTTTTCATGAATTTTGAAGCCCTCTAGGGGCTAAATTAAGCGATTTTAGAATAGGTAAGTTGGGCTAAATATGATTGTTCTGAGCCAAGGAATATTTGGATGAATATGCATTTTCTGGATACCTTGTATTTTTTGTTGCATTTTAATAACAATAGTAATTAGGCCAGTGTGCAAAAGCGAAGAGATATATTTACTCTT